AGCTTTGTGCTCCATTTGTTGATTGTTTCGCCCAGTTGCCATGTCAACCTAAAAATAGGCTACAAAACGCAGCATCAGGACACCATAAATCCCAAATGGAATAGTCGGAAAAAAAACGAAATTTTAATCATAAAAATTACATCCCTCAACAGAAAATACTTTATTATATAGCACCATTTTTATGACAAATTCTCTCACGAGTCAACGAAATAATTATAATACAGTTTAATACACATTTTGCCTTCACGAAAACCAGGGTAAATCAAATGTTTAAGCACAGGAGAACTCATCCCTTAAACGAAAACTCTAATGATGAGCCCTGCCAAATTGAACTATTTGGCCAACACATGATAAACAACACAACATGGAGAAGAACAACAACAAATGATTGCAAGTGGGCGAAAATATAGGGTGTTGGGAGGGTTGTGAGGTCTTTTAAGGGTTGCTCCGCTACACGCTCGCCTGGCAACACTTAACTATGCGCTTTTCTTTTTATACCCAGTAGTCGTAGAGTTCAAGGGTATATTAAAGTCGTTCAGCTATTTTTCAAAAGTTAATTCATATTTTTTTAATATCTCTGGTCCCTAAGCTGATTGGAACCTATTTAGTAATATAAACAACAATACAGCTAAGACTATTACCTTTTTTTAAATGGAAAATAATATGTTTTGTCAATAACATTTTAAAGGCAATTTTATATTACAATTTAACTATTAAAATATTATTTGAATATCACTTTCAAATGTTCAAATTTTTTTTGTTATGTAAAGTTGTTTTATTAACAGCATTAAAGCTAAACAGAATACAGTTATTATAATGGGTAACAACACGACCATAGCTTGTAAGCTTATATTTGTTTTTGGTTGTATCAAAACAAAAATCCAGTCAGAGGGAGGAGATGGAGAAGGGAGAGAGGGAAGACACCAAACACAATGGCTCTCCAAAGAAATTTCATTTTCATTTCTGCAGGTGAGCGAAGCTCACTGGCGATGAGAGAACGGTAAAGAGAACCCAAGAGAGGGAGAGAGCGGGTGGTCATGCGCCGGACTTTCCTTTGGTGTTGCCACTTCTCATCTCGCAGGGTTGCTGCATGCCGTTTCGCTGCGGCAGCATCCAGTTGGAAAATGTACGCGCACTCAAACGCAACAAAAAGCGCGTGACAAAAGGCGGCGCTCTGAAAAAGAAAGGACACTAACAATTCGGTGTTGACAAAAAGGAATTACGCACACATACACACAACCGAATGAGTCGCGTGCTGCCCCCACAATCACCCACCTCCCCCTCCCATTGTGTGTGTCTGTAAAAGAAGCTAAAAATTACCAGCAAAATTAAGAAAAGAAAAAGTGTAGTGAAGCCAATTAAAAGAAAAAATCAGCCAATTAAATTGGTTAATTTTTAGCCAAAGCCCTAAGTAATTAGTGAGTGCATTTCTTTTTATTGATCTGTTGGAATTGACCTTTTTGATCAGAAACCCCGACAAAGGAATAAGTTCTTGAACTCATTCCTTTTGACAATTAGCAAAGTGGAATAATGAACCGTTATGCTCTGTCACCAAGTAAAATGCAACTGCAGACGAGAGCCACAAATCAGTCAAGTGGCAACAAAAGTGAAAAAAGGGAAAAAAGGGAGCAGCTGAAGGCAAAAAAATGCGAATAAAAAGGAGGAAGGAAGAGGTAGGGGAAAGATATGTAATGGAGAGCGGGGGCAACTGGAAAGCGCACTATTGACATATATACGCGCAGATTGAAGCGAAAGAGAAGAAGAAAACGCCGCATAAGACAAAACAGGAAATTCACTTATACACGCTCACAACGAAAGGAAATTCGCGCTGTTGAGCTTTGCGTTTTGACATTTCATTTCAAAACATAGATTCCAGTGAGAGCGCTCTACTCACTCTTCCGCTCTTACTTCCAAGCTCTCTCTTACTCTCACTTCGCTTTCCCTCTCTCCTTTCTCTCTCTCCTTTCCGATTCCATTTTTTTTTACATTTCCATTATTTTCGCTGAGCACATGAGAATGTAAACAAATGCCAAATGGCGGCCGCGTTAAACAAAAATAAAATGGAATTGTGATATATGCATTAACACGTTTCTTGCGTGGTATGTGTATGTATAGAAATGGAAGAAGGGAATGGAATTAAGAGGAGCTGCAGTCACGAAGACAAACAATAGAAATTCGTTCCACTTGGAAATTAGGATTAGGGTCTCGTTCTGACATTGACATTAAACAAAGAATAAAGCCAAAAACAAACAGAATGCTAAACCTCATTAAAGACCAATTTGGACAAAAACAACAACTGCCTAAAGGGAATTGAATAGTTAGCAAATGTTGTTGACACCCGTAAATAGTACTTTTTATGGCCATTTTTTTTCCTTGTCACATTTGTGGATTTTGTCATGCGAAAAACGTGTAATGGTTTCAGTTTGTATACATTACTTTTTATGGCAGATTTAATAACTTCAATTCCACAGAGAGTGATAAAAAATTTTGAGATACTCATATTTTTTCTTTTAAATTGCTTTTAACTTACCAACGTAGGCGTGATTTTATGATTGGTTAAAAATCTATAGTCTGCCAAGGCTCGAACATTAACAAATTTACATTTACATTTACAATATTATTGATTGGTCAGTTCTTTTTTGAAAAACCTATTATTAAGCTCATTTTTAAGAATTTTTAATACAATTATTTTGTTGCCTACTTGGCATTATGCAAGGTACACAATAAAATAAAAATCGTTATAAGTTTTTTTTAGTCTCTTGAGTATCAGGATCCTAATTTTAGTCTGAATCATGTTTAGTTATCCTAATCCATCAGGCCGAACTAGCTGACAATCATTTAAAAGATAGTTTTTTTTCTTTACACCAATTAAAAAATTTGTTGTTTAAAGAGATTTTCCACTTGGGAACCGGCTCTCGCCCCTTGAACCATATCAAAATCAGCTGATACTGTGGCTGGAATCAGTTGCTCCAACAAGATAACAACCCTGAATCATAGCCACCTTTAATGTGTGTGCTTTATCTGTAATTTCTACCAATTGGCACTGCTTTCAAAAACGTCTCGTTTCACTCTTAAATTAACGTTGCTACGCCTAACAAACCTTAACCACGAATTATGCCTGAATGATGCTACAGGCGGCCAACTTCAATTTCAAGAGCTCCTCAAAGGCAGACACAAAAACGGACAAATATTACATACATATTCCGCACAAAAGCCGGCTACAATGAGAGAGACAGATATAAACAGAGAGAGAGAGAAAAACATATTTTTTGGGGGGTTGATTTTTGGGCGTTGAAAGCGCTTTTCACTAATTCAATGCGACATTGAAAACAGTGAGCTTGAATGCGAAAAGTGCAGACTCTCAGAAGGGACCCATGGACAGGATTACGGACAGGGGCGGACAGGACAGCCGCAGTCTGACTAGACGGAACCGGAAGGGCGTCAGCGTCTGGCTTTCGGCCAACTGAGGGGGTGGCAAAAGAGCCGGCTAAGGAAATGCCAAACGAAAGCGTTCTGGGAAAGTGCTATCTGCATAAATTATGTATGTATATTTCTGGTCGCCCGATTATCAACTCGTCAAAGCCACCTCATTTTTTGGCAATCGACTTAATGGTAAAAGGGTGCAGACCGTGAAACCAAGCAATCATAAGCCGGGAAAAAATGTTTTATAGCGTTCTTCAAAAGAGATTTAAAATCGCTAGACATTTTCTAAACGCAATTTTGTCTCTTTTTCAAAAGAATTTAGTGGATAAACTATTGTAATATATTTTACCAGAAAATGTTTAACTAAAAAACTATTAAATATTTATATAACCGGAACAGGCCATAATAGAAAGACAGTAAATTTTAACATAATCGGAACAAGACATGCTTGTATTAAATTTGGTTAATACCTTTTCATAAGGAAATTAAATCGATGTTAAAATAATTGCTCAATTCAAAAAAAGAATTTATCTGCATAATTTACGGAAATATGTATATTTTTAAATGCCCAATTATCAGCTCATGAAAGGCGCTTAATTTTTTGTCAGTTGATTTATTGGTAAAGGGGTGCAAACGGAAAAATCCATAAGCACAGAGACCAAGAAAACCATTCCGTTCATTGGCTGTGAATAAACTATGAAGAGCACGTGACCAAAAAAGGGGGTTTCTGGCTAAAGGGTTTCGACCTGTATTGGTCATAAAGTGATTGTGATTTCCCTTCTAGAGCAAATAAGCCGGCAATTATTTGCGGTGTGCCAGATTTCCAAGTGCGTGATTCAACGGGTTCGCTGCGGTTTCGGTTCCGATTTCGAGCCCCATTTCGTTTACGGCCACGGGTTAGCAAGCGTACGTATTGGCCGGAAGACACAGAGACACCGGCCCCGTTAAGATTTCGGTCGTCGGCGGTGGTCAGAGAGGCTCGAAGATTTGGCGTCGCGAGCGCATCGAGATGACAAATGATCCGGACCTCGATGACTGTGCATTTCTATCCGGTAAGTTGAAGTTCCTAGTAAAGTAAGTGAAAAGTTCAAAGGAAGTACAATGCTAAAAGGCAGCATTATTTTCATTAATTGTCAAAGCTTATAATTCATAAATGATAATAATTGTTAGCTTTGCCATAATCGTAATATCATAGAAACTTTAGGCCTTTGTAATGTATGGATAAGATAGTTAAGTAGCACAAAAATATTATAAATAAGGTAAAGTTCCTTGATCAGTTAATGCAAGTTCTATAGCTGAATCACCGATCAAAATACTTTTAGTTTTCACATTTTACTCTCTAACCTTCTATTTATATTTGAAACTTTGTACCCCGTTAAATTTTCAAACGGAAACCAAACTTAGTGCTGGCACTGGATTTTTTCAGTACGCGAACCCCCACTTTGTGTTATTTTTATGGAGTTGCACTCAACTCCAGTGGCAATTGCAATGCAACCCATCCAGATGAAATATTTACCCAGCCCCACTATGACTTTTATGCGGAGTTTAATTACATTTTCCCCGTTTCTTTTGGACAGGTGGCGAATCGAGTGGCGGGCGGCAGACGCGCACCGGAGTCGCCGTCTGCTCACAGCGCCGGGCTCTACTTGTGGCCGGAATCGTGCTCGGCTCGCTGCTGCTGACGGCCATCATCATCGCCTACGCCGGACCGCAGAACGGTAGGTTTGCCCCGTGCCCCAAGACCCATGGTGCTTCACTGCTCCGCCCTCACTCCGTTTCTTTTCCTTTCTTTCTACGAGTTTTTTTCCGAGCATATTCACCTCGTTCGTTTTTCATTTCCACCCACAACAGAAACAGGAGCGGTTGGGGTCACCCTTTGTTGCTGTTACTTGATTACGCTTTTATTGAGGGCGACAGGATATGTAGTCAATTGTGCGGGGAAACAAGCCGGCTTTGTGGCATCGAAAGGGTCCCCAAAATTTGACAGCTTTAAAAATAGGAAATTGTAAAAGAGAAATTCTGCTTGACGTGAATGGAACAATGAAGTAATATAATTTGGTTTTCTGAAAAGGGTTTTAGAATACGAGACAAGTTTTAAGCTTTTATTAAAATTTGTTTTATAACTAAAGAAAATCCTTGGTACTGCATTTAAGATAGCCACATTAGAAAAATAAGCGACAATTTATCGTTTTTATTGAGTAATTTAAATTATATAAATAGTATTGGACTAAACTAAAAATACAAAATTTAAATAAGCTTTTCTAAAGTTCCTCAAAAATAAGCGAACATATTTACTTTTTAATGATTTAATACAAACTAAGTAATTAAATTGTTTATATATGAAACACCTTTCCCAGTTGAAAGTCTGAAATTTGCAATTTTAAATTAAGCGTATTTATATAAAAATAACCACAATATTTTGAGCTTTAACACCAGTTTTGAAATAAATCCATCGATCAAGGGTAGAGCCCTTGCGCCGAATTGTACAAAATAAATGAGTATAATATCGCAAAAAAGAGGGTGCCATAAATCAACATGTGTAAGGGAATCATGAATAATGTAGCCCATTCTCCACCCAGCGAAGTATCTATGACTAAAGCCGCCTCAAGGTTCAAAGTTGAGGCCCAATAAATCCGTATAAATGGTAATTGAATTCCTTGACCGGCGGCGTTCAAAGCAGGTCATAAACCATCTGGCCGCAGCAATCCATTTGGCCCCGAGTAATATGCTTTTAACCATATTAAGTTGGGAGGCGGCGGCATCAGTTTCATTCCGCGTATAAATAGATGCACCTGCATCACCTGGCCCCACATTTCCCACCCTGATGTCCCCAATGGATCCATAGGCCTCGACCCGTTATTCTGTGTCCCTGGCCATATTCAATTGCAAAATTATGCAAAGTGCAAACACTCTCACACTCGCTGGAAGTTTCTGTTGCATACTTAATGGGGCTAAATGCATTGGGGATAATTGCATTAACCCAAGGGAAAGGGAATACAAGCCACACGAGAGCGTGTGTTTGCGGTTTGGGGGGAGGGGGGGAATGTATACAGACACATGTCTGGTGGAAAGTTAATTTTCCCTGCTGCCAGCTTGATTATCAATCAGTATTTGCCGCTGTGTAGCTTTAACTTCTGCTTCCGCCGATCCAATTAGAAAAGTTCGACCATTTTACACTTTTTTCCACGCCCCTTTCTATACAGTATATATATCCATAATACTATCTATTTAATTTCCTGACCATCATTTGTTTATTTCCCTTTTGTTTTCCTTTTGCCTTTGACTTTGTATACAAAATGTTTATTATATATATGAATCTTTGAAAAATATGAAATATTTCTCTTAAATGCTTGTTTGATTGATTGGTTAAAATGTGAGTAACAATTATGCCAAACCCGAATACTTCTAAACTGGTAAATAGCCATGACAATCTATATAATCCTTTGGCATGTTGATGTCATTGATCATCTGTTTATTCTAACTTATACTTTCCTCTTTCATTATTTCTTTAATTTTATTTTCTGTCTCTAGATGTTAGATCTTTATAGTTATATTTTGCTAGTGGAAGAAGGATCCAATTCTTTTGATTTAATGTTCATTGTAAATAAAAAATATCACTAGTCAAAAGATAAGTCATTTATAGGCAAGATAATCGTCATTTAGATGATAAAAATACACACTTTTTTTAGAAAATGATTCGAAGCAGTTGCACAAATACTTTTGAAGGACATATATAGTTTAAGTTTTATACTCTTTACACAACGGCAATTTAAACTTCCAAGACAACTTTATAGTCGTTTATTTGTTCTTTATTTTTATATTTATTAACATTAAAAGACATTATTTTGTTAATGCTGTAGATTTTTATGTTCGATTCCGGATGGCTTATGGATTATAATCTTTAGATTTCCATGACTTTCACATCAATTGATTCGATTAATCGCGACATTCAGCTAGAATGAATCCCCCATTTGTGATCTTCCTCGTTTGAGTTCTGTTCACCCCCCACTAGATGTGCTAATGACTTGAACCGAATCCAATTATTAAACCGATTTATTGCTAGCTTTTCTTTATGCTAACCCCCACCCAAACTTAGATGATTATCCCCCTTAACTCTCTCTCTCTCTCTGTTGATTGTGTATAATGCAATTTGCTTTAACGAACTTAGCTACGAATCCCCGAAAGAGTCGTTCGCGAAAAAGAAGAGTAACCAGCCCTAAAACATCCCGATACTGATTACACACCTCGACTATCCTTGCAGACTGCTCCTGTGGATCGAAAACGGTGTCCGGCTACGAAACGGATGAAGAGAACAACACGCAGCCCTTCAACCCGATTGCCACCAATGGGGAGCCTTTTCCGTGGCTGGAGAAGATGTTGCCGACAAGTGCGCGACCCCTGCGCTACATGGTCACCATCCATCCAAACCTTACGACACTGGATGTTAAAGGTAAGTCTGAAACCCGTTACCACTCAATAAATATTAAAATATTACTAGAATTTGAAAATCATTAACATAGTGCCAAATCATTATTCATGTATTTGGAATCAGGAAGTCCGATAGACTCATTTAAAATGACATCGTTCTGATTTTCAGTATATAATACTAGACATTTTTATAAGAGTTATTTCTGTGGCACCCCTGATTACGTATTTGTATAAACCTTTTTCAAGTGCTCACAGCATTATATTCAAACTTTCAATTTAAGTACTTTATTTGTTAACTTTGGCTTAATATTTTTAATTGAGCACCTCTCCTCCCCAAGTTCATTCATGGAAATATAATTTGATTGTCTGACATTTAATTCTGTCGTTTTCCTTTTTTTATATTTTCGCTCGGCCAGGCCAAGTCACCATCGATTTGCACGTGGAGAAGGAGACAAACTTCATTGTGCTGCACATCCAGGACCTCAACGTCACCGAGAAGGTAAGCTAGTCACGGTCCGGCGGCATGCAAATAAAGCCAATTAGCGTCTGGCTCGAGTGCGTCCATTGATTGCATTCCCGTTTTGGTTGCAGGCTATCGTCACTCCGGGGCCGAAGGGCTACGCCCTCAAGATTGTCAAGGTGCTGGAGTTTCCGCCCCGCCAACAGCTCTACATCGAAGTAAAGGAGAAGCTCAAGAAGAAGTCCAATTACACCCTCAACTTGCGGTGGTACTCCAAACTCAATCCGGAGCCCGAAGGCTTCTATGTGGACCAATACGAGAGCTCCAATGGTGTGGAAAGGTAAGAAATCCCATTTTAAATATAAAGTGTCCAAGAACTGCACTTCTAAGCCCATAACTTTTCATGTAGATCTAAAATTTCAAAGTGACATACCTATAAATGATTGTGGTTTGATTCTCCTAAAAACTGTGTTTAAATCTTGGTTTTTAATTTTGGGTTGATTTTTAGTTATTTTCAGGATGTACCCCCTTTCCAAATTTTCGGGAAATGGCCTTGCCGAAAAGTGTCCCAAAACTGCGCTTCTAAGCCCATAACTATCTTACAAAAATCCAATTTCAAAGTTGCAGACTTCTAAATGATTGTGGCTTGATTCTCCAAAAATCTGTGTTTAAATCTTGGTTTGCATTTTTGGGTCGATTTTTCGTCATTTTCCAAATTCTTTAAAAAGGCTGTCCACAAACATAATTTTTTCTTACAGAAATCCGATTTTTTATGTTTAGTTTTGGCTTAATTTTAAATCTAAAAATTTAAATGAATTAACCAAAGAAAACTTTTTGAAGGAATTTTGTTTTTATTAAGCAGCTACATTACTATCCTTTTAGATTACTAGCTGCCACAGTTTTCCGCCCGAATGGTGCAAGACGAGCGTTTCCCTGTTTCGATGAGCCGCACGTTCGGGCGCCATTCCGCATCTCCGTGTTCAGAGATCGCTTCCACATTGGTCTGTCTAACTCCATAGTGCACACCACCGAGGACGTGGGCTTCTACATGGGCACGGGACTGGTAGGAATAAAGCCCTTAAGAAATAAGACAATGATTAATAATACTATTTACCCTGCAGCTCCGTGATGACTTTATTGAGACGCCTCCGCTGCCCGCGGATGCGGTGGCCTGGGTGGTGAGCGACTTCCAACGTGAATCCCTGCAGCCTTCGGCGGCATATATCCCCACGACACCAGCGCCACTGGGAACCGGAGTGGGTGGCAAAAAGTCCGCCCAGCTAAACAATTATACCCAGCTTAAGGGGAAAAACCCGCCGGTACGAAACATCACTGCCCTGACCCATTCCTTGAATGTCAACCTGACGCCGCGCCAAAATCTGACAATTGTTCAACCAACGACGACGACAGCTTGGCCTGTAAATCTCAATGGGAATGGAAAGCTATCAAATCTTACCTCGTTGTCACAGTCCACGGGATCGTCGATAAAGAGAGCTCCCTCGTACACCTTCTACGCACCCAGGGATCTGCTTATTCGCTCTTTCTTCATCCTGCACACATCAAGGGATGTTCTGGAGTACTTGCAGACCTGGCTGGACATCAGTTATCCCCTCACAAAAGTGGACTTTGTGGCGCTGCCATCGCTGGATCGTAATATGATCTCCTCGCTGGGATTGGTTACCTTGAAAACCTCATTCTTGACGGATCCGAGTTCGATTACCTCTGAACAATATCAGTTTAGTGCATTACGGATTGCCGAGGCGATGGTGAGGCAGTTCTTTGGAGGAATCACTTCCCGCAAAGTGCTCAAGGATGTGTGGCTGTGGGAGGGACTGATCCAGTACCTGGGAATCCATGCTTTGGCTCCACTTCAAGAGAGCTGGCCTTTGAGAGAGATGTACCTTTTAAAGATGGCAACTGCAGCATTGGACATAGATGCAATCCAAGGATGGGATAGCATTATGAATGGCACCAGTCACGATGGCAACAATGAGGAGTTCTTTGTGCAGAAGACAGCCGCCATATTTTCCATGTTGCACACGGCCATCGGAGAGGATCGTTTTAGGGGCTGCCTAGGCTCGTTCCTTAAGGTTAACCGTTTTAGGACCGCCGAACCCACAGACCTCTGGACCATTTGTACAAAGAAGGCCAACGGTTCCAAGAATATCAAGGACATGATGACCTTATGGACGCACCAGCCGGGTTTTCCGTTGCTTACTGTCACCAAAATGGGCAACAGTATCTCCATCTCGCAAAGGCCCTTCCGACCAGCCGAGTTTCTAGCCATCCACGATGACTCCTACGATGGGAATAACTATAATAAGTCGGCGCTGAATGCCACGGATATGCCAAGTACGGTGCCGCCCACAACGCAGGGTAGCAAACACAAGGCGGTGCCACATATGAAATGGATCTTCCCGGTCACATATGTAACAGATATCAACAACGTCAGCGAAACCCTCTGGATGCAGAACGTAGATGGTGAGTTAGGCTAGATCTAAATAAAATCATGATATACGTTTTTGTTCAATTAAATAGATAGCTTAACTTTATCGAATATTGTATGACATCCATTATTACAAGAATACTTTGTTTTTTAAATATTAAATTATTGAAAACAAATGTTAATTATTTTTCTACCTCTTCGCAGTAACCTTCAACGTTCCGGAGAACGTGAAATGGATCAAAGTGAATGCTATACAAAACGGCTATTATCGAGTTGTTTACAACGACGACAATTGGGCGAGTCTCATAGAGGAGTTGGCCACAAATCCCAATCGCTTCACCAGCGAGGTAAGCTTTTAACCCTTGAATTAGTAAAACACAACTAATTTGAATTGAAACCGTTTTTTAGGATCGTTTGGGTCTGTTGTCGGACGCCTTTACCCTCTGCCATGCTAATTTGCTGCCTTGCGAGATCACCATGAATATGATCCAATATCTGCCCAGCGAAACGAACTATGGACCTATGGCTCTAGCGTTGAGGCATCTGGAGAAATGGCGACGCATACTCAAGTATTCGGAATGCTTCCTCATGCTCAGCGAGTTTATCAAAATGAAGATCTCCACGGTAATGGAGAAGGTGGGCTGGTCGGATGACGGTGACGTGGCCACCAGGTGAGATGGACATAATCAAAACATTAAAGATGTTTAGCCAACAGATTATTTATTATTAAGGTTACTGCGACCCGAGGTGCTTTTGGCATCGGTGCTGTGGGAGGACATTGATAGCATCACCAAGGCAAAGAACATGCTAAACCAGTATCTGTACTACAATGGTTCCGCTATTCAACCAAATCTTAGAGAGGTTTGCAATACCAAATCTTTTCTAAGGAATCTTTAAATAACTCTTTTATCGTCCTTTCAACAGGTGGTTTACACCGGCTCTATCCTGTCCGGGGAGTACATTTACTGGCAGCATTGCTGGGAGCGTTTCGTCAACCTCCAGCGCACCTCAGAGACTTTTGTGGAGCGGATGCAGTTGCTCCGCGCCTTGGGAAGGACCAAGGATGCCTGGCTGCAGAACCGCCTGCTTTCGCACGTGACAATGCTACCCACCGAGGAGGTGGTGCAGGTGCTGAAAGCCATTGCCGGCACGCCGACGGGTGGAGCCATGGCCTGTCGCTTCCTGCAGGCCAAGTGGTTCGAGCTGGAGAAGCGGCTTGGTCCGGGCACGATCAGCTTTGCCAAGGTTATATCGGCCATCACCCAGTACGGGGCCACAAAGTTCGACTACGATGAGGTGAGTTATTAAGCACATTCCCAACGGTCTTGTGATAATGAATGGGCTTTGTTTTTCATTTCCGCAGCTCAAGTCGCTGGTGCATCGCTTCGGCCGAGGTCACGGGATGGCCGTGCTCAATATGACCTTGAGTAGCGTGGCCTCCAACGTGGAGTGGGTGGCCCGGTCACAGACGTCGCTCTACAAGTGGGTGGAGGGCAACCTGCACTCGCATCGATAGAGGAGAAGGACACAGTCACGGAGGTCCTCACACAGTTCTCTCTTCAGACTCATTTGTAATTATGTTCCTCTCTCAGACACGAATCTTAAGTGAGCTTTGATTTCGCCGAGTTAACTAACACTATGGATCTATACTCTTTACCATATCATTGCCAGTTCGATCGATCTCCTTGGTTTTCTCGTAGCTGTCCTATAATTTTAGTATTCAAAGTTAATCCACTCAATTGTAAATTACGATTGCTATGATCAAGCAGCTCTTATATATGTGTATATCTATACCAGTGGAGAAAACCTTTTCTAGCACATACGAATGTGTATATCTACAACTGAACATAAGGATCTATCTATATATGTATATTGTATATGTATGTATATTTTACAAACCAAAAAAAAAAACCAAACATATTTAGAGCAATGGATAATTGTAGATGTAAGTGAAGAACAAAGAACAACATATTTTTTCATAAAAACTTAAATGAAACGAAACAAAAGAAGCCCCATAATCGATAAACTAAATCGCTAATGAATGCATTCTAGTAACTGTATAGCATATATGTATAATAATAGTAGTGAGCGGTGTGCTCGTGTGTTTTTCCGTGTATGTGCGCATCGAAATATCACTGAAATCTTCCTTTTGCCCATAAACAACATTAATGCCGATTTATACCCACGACTGCCTGACCAAAACCGAAATAAAATTAGCATGAACAAGTTTAAATCAATTTTGCAGTATGGAAGAACTTTATAATTTATATTATTTATTCATTTTAATAAATAAATCATTAATAGCTTCCAAACAAAAAAATATTCATGTTAAAAATCTATATAACTTGGTACTTTTGTTCGCATAGTATATTGGCTCATTACTTTTAAATTTCAAAGCGTGAAATGTGATACCCCCAACTTGGGATAACACAAAAATTAAAAATTTATTTCAGCTAATTAAAATTGTTTCATCAAGCATTATTTAATTTAGTAATCAGTATAAATATCGCAAACCCAATTAGCTTAAAATCTGTTAACAATATTATATGGCTGCCATAGTAATTAACTATCTTAAGCCATTGAATATTAAGAAAAAAACATATATGGTCAAAAGAGCAAAATATTGGCAGAAAGAAAAACGTATGTGAAGTTATTCCTTTTTTTAGACTCTTTTGTGGTCTAAGGTCAGGCAGGTAGATAACGTAGGAAATCGAGATACGAAATTACATATAGACATACCATAATGTACATACATGGCGTACATGCTGTAGTTCGCTAGAAGTCAAACATATTCAAACAAACACTTTTTATTTCCGCACTCGCATAAGACACAAAAATTAACAGATTACAATGTTCCGATTACTACGACTTGTGTCTAATTAACATTTTACCATGTGTTTTTACCATTTTACCATATCGCTGTTTATCATTTAATTAGTTCTGGAACTTCTGCCCTAGAGATAGCCAGGTTTTAAAGCCCGAGGTGATTGAGTAATCTGAGGGAATCCGACGTTTTCTGCCACTTTAAAATAGGTTCCGATAGCACGCTGGTTTTGTCATTATAAACCATATAAACGTGTATAAATGTTGTGCCATTGGCAGCGCACAGCGATTAGAGGGGCCCATGCGACAAGATTAGCTTTCGATGGGTCAGGTGCGTAGTTGGAGCATATTTTAAGGGGGAACACTTAATTAAAAATATTTCTAAAATCATAGAAAAAATTAAGAAGCAATCGACCGAACTAAACCCATACTTTTGTAATCAAAGAAGTTAACAATCCCTTTTGAACCACGCCTGAGATATCTCGAGCTGGAAATGGTTAATCAAATTCCGGGTTAAACCTTCAACCATTTTTGACTATGCTAATTCGCAAATGTGTATTTGCATTAATACATTGGAGATCTTTGATTTCGTTTTGGGAAGAATAGCTTGATTTTATCAGATGTTATATAGATGAGTACGGTTTGCTTGGCTGAGACACACTAAGACTAACTCAAAGATACTCGACGTCAATCGCTCAGATACCCCGAATTATATTCCAAAAATATAGAAACACAGAGAGAGAGAGAGAGAGATATAGAGAGAAATACAAAATACAAGCAACTTTATTAGCAACAAAGTTAGATCACAGAGAAAACACAAAAAACAAGTTTTGGAGCGATTTTACGGATTTTCGACAAATGTATAAGCCAAACAAGCAGCTTAAAATGAAAAACGAAAACCAAACCAAATAGAGATAATACAAAAAGAACACAGAATACGACAGATACTCAAAGCCTAGAGAAAAAAAAAATAGGGGAAGATTTAGAAAGTTTTACAGATCAACTGACATTAAAAACATTGTTTTGGTTCCAACTGCTTTTGATTTAATCGTTAACCCATTCATCGTCTAATTGTATTGTACAATGCATATCCGTCCACAGCTTTGATTATTTGACTTAATTCATTTGGATTCCATTTAGTTTTTCAAAAACCCTTACATGTCCCTCCTTAACCTGTCCTAACCTTCAATCGCGCTTTGTCCTGAAGTTCAAGAATGGCCTTTTCTTAATTCAAGGATCAAATACGAATTCTAGTTAATTTTATTAGACGAATTTTTTTTGCAATTGGCATGAATTTATAAGAAATTATTAATTATGCATTGGCTATCAGGTTTTATATAGAAATTCGCGTAGGGAAAATACAAAGTGTATCTAGAATGCAATGGAAAGCAGGCAGAGCAACTCTAAAGACGTAAATCTAAATGTATGCTAATGATATATACACATCTATATATAAATATATATTTACATAATTTAATTTAAGTCAAATGGGAATATTAATAAAAACGATAACTAATCTGTAAATAACACGGTTATCTGATTTATTTGTTTATCTTTCAGTGACCTTTCACATTGAAAACGAATGTGTCCTTTCATATAACATAAGCTTACCATAAAATATAAATGTCAACGATAAGAATTCGATTTAGTGGCCTGATAATATCGCGATTAATTCTACCCTGAATTACACTTTATGGATCAAATTGCTTTGCACCCGCGATGCTATTGTTTGTACATGTATAATTTGCTGTCAATTTTCTATTCATGGTGGAAAAAGCTACGGAAATGCCATACGATTTGGTAATCACATATAGATTTGGGACTCAGCGCCAGTTTCCCTGGAAGTTAAACTGACTTTATAAAACAAAAGGCAATTCGTCATTATCATCATATATTTTTTTGATAATAGAGACTACAATAGTATAGTAGTTCAAAAAAACAGTTGAAAGTTAATTTGGTGAGGTATTCCGCTTGGTGAGGCATTTATTTGTCATCTAATCAGTAGCATCTAACAGGGAAAACTTTAGTTAATCTATACATTTTATTTGGCTTTGATAACCTGACATTTTTTATTATTTCTTTTTTAAAGCACTTAAATACAAAAGACATTTAAAAATAACGTTTTTGGTTTTTTAAATTGAAAGACATGAAAAAAACAACACTTTTTTTTAATTTATTAAATTTAATTTGTTTATTTTCAAAGCCCAGTCACTAAGATCTACTCTCTGGCTGAGGTTGATAAGCGCTGATCAATAAAAGTATTTATATGGAACACCCAAATCGCGACAAAAGCTGTGATTCAGGGCCCCAACAAATTGGCGCCGTCGCGCGGAAGATGTTGTATAAACAGCACAGGTGTGTCGTGGTGTGCCAGCGGATCAATTAGAAGCTGCCGCGCACGCTGGCCGAGAGAACAATAACAACAACAAGAAGAAAGGCGGACTGAGGCGCCGACACTTGCCCTGCGCTATCTGCTCGCTTTTATCAGACAGTTTGGCTTAGCGATTGGGGGCCTCTCCCCGACTCTTTCTCCTCGCTTCCCGTCCCGCTCGCTTGCTCTCTCTATCTCTCTGTCTCTGACTGTGTTAGCCTCCCACTCCCACTCTCTCTTTCTCTGTTTTGCTGCCGACGCAAACAGCTGAAACGCCGAGAGACCGACGACCATCGGCCTTTCAACGTTTCTGCCAGTGTTTTTTGAACAGCCGTTCAGTGAATTACAACCGACCAGCTATTCGCTCGCTCGCTCACCTGCCGTACCGCCGTCGCCCCCTCTCTTTCTGTAGCCCATTCAGCTGATTTTTTGGATGCTCTTAAGTGGACTACACGTCGTATACGTAATATCTGGCACTCTCTTTTGCTACAACAGCAAAATATAACAAGTGTTTCGAGCGTGGCGCGCTTTTCAAAACAAAAACTGTGCTTAAAAATAACAACAGGCTCAACAAAAAAGCCATAAACTAAAGCAACCCAAAAGTGTAAAGCCTAGGTAAAGAAAAAATAGTTAAATAAAATACAATTACGGGTGCGAAATAATAACATTTAGTACCGGACAGTTGAAGGGGCACAATAATTGCGTCGTTAAGGCCCGAGAGTTAATAATACATCCCCCACTCCCAGTGGAAATAACTTCCTTGTGTGCGAGTGTGAGTGCGCGTGTTTACCAAAGTGTGAGTGTGTATATGTGTTTTAGAATTCTGAACATTTGCCCTAATCAACAAGTTCAATTTAATAGACAACTATTGGATAGAACAGACGCTTTCTCTACAATTCTCCCACAACGCAAATAATAGTTTCTATATACATATGTATATATAATTCTGAGGAAATTTTGCGCACAAACAAAATATTTCGCATAAATATACCGGCATGTGGTCATCAGTGCTAATTCTCTTAAACACTCTTTGGACTGCTCTTTAACAATATAAAAACAACTGAGTGTTATGTATAAATGTTTACATTAATTGTTTTGCTGCGTGTTCTTGCTAATGATAATGAGAATGAAAGTTCCCCAAGCTCCCCGGAATTAAATAATATTAAAAACCATCAAAAGGCTAAGTTACGCTTCAATAAGTTAAAATTGTACATGAATTCAAGTGTTTACAAAAAACATATACTTAGTTACTAGGCCTCCAATTGAGACGCCCATAACATTATTATGTGGGGTTGCTTTGCTTCTAAAGACTATATCACGACATTGTCGTTAGTGTATCATTATATCCCCCCACGCAAATTAAAAAGTCAAACTGCATGACGATCGCTTGACACGGACTTAGTGTTTGTCCCTGTCCCTTTCTCCGACCCCTTCCCCTCCCCTCCCTTTCAATCACCTGTTGATGCGACTTTGTCAGGTAATTGCTAAAATCAATATGTACTGTGTGTTCGGACAAAGAATACTCGATATTGGCCGAACGGGGCTTGTTTTAAACGTTGCTTATTTGGTTTTAGCTTTTTACTCAATTTTTTCGAATTCTTTCCGAGATTTAATTATGCCCAGCGTAGATTCAAATTTTAAACTGCGTCAAGGCATCAAACGACGGCCTCAGACGACTGCGAAAACAACAACCAGAGGGTATTTAGTAAAAACAAGACGGGAAAAATTGGTTTACACATACGAAGTAGACAATACTCTACCTTTGCTTGGTTGTAGTACCCGAACACAAAGGAATTTTGCATGGGAAGAATTTAAAAAGCTTTTTATACAGAACACTTCAATAAAATAAAATGTTTTATATAAGGAATAAAGTAAAGTTAAAAAACTGCGCAGTTTTTAAATACTTCTAGGCATGTAAAGACAATTACTTTACTAAGAATCTATAATGTTAGGATTCTAGATCGTATTATTGGATTTATTCAAACTTGATTTAATATATTTATGACAATGAATTTTCCTTTAATCCACTTTATTCCACCACAAACTGAAACAAAAAGCGTATCTTCCCAATATCAGAGTATACCCATATAAAAACCTTAAGAAACTGGTTTTTTATTTTCTCAATTCGAACAAATTTGCAACGTTGACTTGGTTTCGGGGAAAAAATGTTCGATATTTACCAAGTTTGCATTGTGATTTCACTGTTTATAAATATGAATACCTGGACTAGGATGATTTGCATAAATGGAAGCTGCTAAATTTACCCGTATCAAGAATTTATTTTTGCGCAAGTGCGAAGTGAAAAAGATGTTTGCTTTGAGTATAAACTTACGACAGAATTCCGATTAAGCCGAGCCTTATTTAAAACATTTAATTGACTTTGACCGATAATTTATATCTTATATCATACTCACTTGACAACACAATTAACTTGTTACTACAAATAATTTAATTGACCATAGAATCGAATTATTTATCTCAGAAATAATTGCAATATGTTTTATAACCTATTTGAGTAAGTTATTTCCACCTTTTTGCAATATTCCTTTTTATTTTATTATAGAGCTAAAATATAGATACGTCATTTTGAATCTTACTATAAAGCATCTGAAAATCAAAACCTCACATGAAATCAATTCAATACGCAAAATAAAACGCACTTTGTACTTTACAACTTTCATTTCCAGTTTTATTTTAGTCAGACTTTTTTTTGTTACCAAGCAACCGTTTTTTCCAGTTTTTGATTATTCTCTCAGTCCCCCTTCTTGTCAAGTATGTACCTCATCTTCAAAAACCGTATCAGTCTGGGCCGTCGAACATTTTCCGTTGACTTCACATGCTTTTTCACTGTACTTGTACTTGATTTATTTTCGCACATTCAGTTGAGTCATGACAACAAACCAAAGATCACAGCGTTTTCGAACTGTTAACTTTGATCATTATTCAAGGCAATAATTAGCGATTCCCAGAAGACCTTAAATTTTATTATTCCCTTCAACTTAACTTTGTTTGAACTATTATTAATAAAAGTTGGTTGATGGGACTCTCAACTTCTGGGGAGTCTTAATTAAACTGAGATACTTGAATAGTAAACAGGGAAGTATATCGTTAGGAACACGTGTTGGCATATATGCATATACAGTGTATATTATACACATGCCAGAAAAAGTAAAAAAGTTTAAAAAAACATGTTGAAAAAAATTATAATTTTTATTTTAACAGATAGTACATTTATTCACTTTTCGTTTGATGTATCTTAACCCTTCTAAGACTTTATTATTTTAATAATATTTACAAAAATGTACAAAATGGCCTGATTTTGCATCAGAAAAAGAATGCGTACAAAGACAAAAATCATTTATAAAATAAAATATTTTTGGAAAAAGGACTTAAATTTTATACGAAGTGAGGTACCCCTTTCGTTTTAGGAATTCAGCCAACCGATTTGGCATTGACTGGACCAATTTCGTTGTGTCCTCCACCGATATTTTATTCCATTCCTTGACCATCATTTTTTTTTAGCATATCCTTTGATGTAATGGTGTGCTGGCGGATCCTGTGCTCTTGGAGCTCCCACAAATGCTCAATGGGATTGGGATCTGGGGACTGCGGTGGCGAATTTAACTGGTTTTTCACATTATAGAGCACCCAAGGCTTCGTATTCATTGCACAATGCCATGAATTCCATTCGTTTGATTTTGTTGACTTGATATGAATGGTTTCTTCCGGGCAGTACGGCTGTTATAGTCTTCATTCTTCAACATTTTGAGAACTTTTTCTTTATCCTATGCCATTTGGGAGGTTGTTGTGCTTGGATTTATTTTTATTGTCTTCAAAACGCTTCTCCTCTTACGCTCAGAAAGTTTGGTGGTCTACCAAAGCGGGGTTTTGACCCACAGGAACCCGATAAATTGAAATGTTCAAGGACAATTTGTACAGAGCAGTGTGCTCTGCCAACTATCCCACCAATTTACCAAATAGTTTTCCCTTCATCACGTAGTTTTACTATAACTACTACTACTAAATAACGTCTGGTTACAACATAAATATGCCAGATTTGATTACAAACAAGTAAACAAAGTAAAATCGGGCCATTTTGTATATTTTCTTTATATCAGGAAAAGTTTAAGTGTTACAAATAAAAATGAAATGCTTAAGATTTTTTTCAACATGTTTTTTCAAACTCCAAAGTTGCAGGACATGTTTGTACGCATACTTTTTCTGGCATGTGTATATACATATATATAACTATATAAATAGCTAACCACAATAAATAACATAGGAATGCATATCGCTAAAGGTTGGAGTATTATTTTAGAGTATTATGATAAAAAGTAATTAATTAAATGAATAAGATTTTATGTAAATCTATGAACGTAAATATTTTCATTTTGGAGATATCCAAGAATATATTTTGTTAACATACAACATAAAAGCGAAAGTACGTTTTCCCTAAGGACATTAAATATCAAAAATGCACCTGTTCATTTTTATAACTGATTTTGGTGCTTTCGATCACTTTTAGAACTACCACTCATAACACTTGCCTACAATTTAGAAGCGAAAAAAATTGGTTCGGTTTTATGATTCATTTATGGCGAAAATAATCTAATCGGAAAATCCAGTTTTCAAACTTTGGCTGATGTAATTTGCATGACCTCAAGCCAGAGCTCACTGTACAGTGATAATTCCAATGGTAAAAATACTTTCATTTCAATCGATAGATAATGAATGCCAATTCCACATGGTTATCTTTCTGTTTGCGCGGCTGTTGTTGTTGGGCATTCACTGTACTTATCTACGTCTGATTCCATGTGAATGTTTGTAATCTCTCTCATAAATGGCAAACGCAATCGAGAAATAAACAAACCATTTAACTGTGTTATATCTCCTTATAGAATTTTGCCAATCGAGGCTCGCTTATCAGTATTTATACCTTGCTTGCAGTGAAAGCCCTATTGAAGGAAAGAAATGTTCTATAAGTTCGTGGAAATAATAAAAACTATAACGAACATAAAAGAAGAAATATAATTTTAAATTTGTTTGGCGTTGAGTCGTCTAAGGCTTATTAAATTTATTGGCTAAAAAAATTAAAATTGTAATTAGTGAATTCTGCCTCATAGTCCCGACATCGCGCATTAGTCTGCGAGTCTAGGTCATAAAAATGACATCCTTATCTATATGTTCGCCTCTTGCTTTCATTGCAGTTAGCATATTGACTCATCATCATTTGTGCCGGCTGATAAGCAATCATGATCGACCTGGAGGACCTGCCCCGACTGCAATCCCTATCCCCAGCCAAGGATATCGAGGATACTTACCACAAGACCCAGACCCAATTGCAGCCCAATCCCAAGAAGAAGGTAATCGTACGAGTTCCGATCGGACCGCCATCGAAATTGGCCATGTTGATTAAGCCGACGGTGGCTTCAACGCCCGCGGTTCTGGCCACGCCCACGCACGTCTCTCTGGAGACCCCGCCCACACCGGAATTGACGACCCCAGGTATAGCCAAGAACCCCATTTGGCGAGGTGGCTTCCATTTTACCACTTTGGTAAGTATTGCATTGTTGTATGCCTAACTACAACATATGTTATATGTACCTTCATATATGTACGTCATATGTACCTACAAATGCCTGCACAAATATTCCCAGGTTAGGCATTCAAGATCTCTTTTCAGGGCGTATTATATCTGAAAATTACCGCCATCAATCTTAATTAAATTTTACTGGGTGGTCTTTTAGGTAAATTGATTTTAACTTTAGTGTGCATCAACTTTTCGGACAATTCGTTAATATTGGTAGTTCGAAGTGGGAAGCCAATTCTTTCATATTGGTTGTTCGAAGTGGTAAGCTTAATCCAAAATAGGGTACTTTTTTAAAACTAAGCTGTTTTCAATGCTTTAGAGCTTAATCCTGGTATAACAACTTTAAAAAAATGTTGACCTAACATACTAAATTGATTATTTGTCATAAAACATGAATGATTGCACGAAAATCGCAATTCTCAATTGATATATTATTAGACAACCAAAATCTCTTAATGTTAATATTAACTCGTAAATCTTTATTTTTTTATTAACAAATCAACTCTATTTCAAATTAAACATTTTAAATGGACACGTGTTCAAAGCTTGTAAAATTACACAATATCTACATGTTAGTTCACTATAAGTAAACTTTTGCTTTGTTAAATATTTTGAACGAGCCTTTGCAATAATAACTGTTATGAAATAGGCAAAACTCTAATCCTTTTAACTACGACAAATTATTTAATTATCTAAGAATCCACGGAAACAAAAGGTTTTTATTTAAAACAAGGTAACATTCCCATATCACCACCCTTTCCTAAAAAGCTCTTTCGAACAGGAAAACCCACCACTGTGGAGATTTTTCAGCTTGCCGTGTATGGTCACATACTGCAGATTGTTGTTGCCAACCGCAGAGCTTTTCGAATGCGGTGAATTCGCGTCTTTGCGGTGAGTTTCAATGTGCTAATCAACACCGCGCTGAACAGACGTTTTTGTTTTGGAATAGAAAATCGCGACCAATTTCGACGGCGGAGAAATTGCCAAAAGTTGACAAACAAACACGTTTTTAAGCCCACCACGTAGGTACGGCGGTTAGTGAAAGAGAGTAGCAAAGCGTACGCGGCGATAATTTGCCAAATAACAGTGAAAGAAGACGCGTAAAAGTGCGAAGTACACGCCGCAAGCTTGTTTGTGTGTGTGTGCCTGTCTGCCTAATTGTGTTTGTGTGTGTGCCGGAACAACAAATGAAATCGTTGCATGCCTTACTCACTAAATAAGTGCAACTCATTGCGGCGGTGGTGGGTTAAATCTAAGCAACAACGACCAACAGGCTAGCAACAACAGTTATTCAGCAATCACCGCCTCTCCTTCTCGCGCGCAGTCTCCCTCTCTCTCTCTCTCTCTATCAGTCTCCTGCTCAGCTGACAGACTGCAATCGAGAAAAAAAAAGTAAAATATAAAGAATACAAAAACGAAAACGATCCAAGCGATTTGATAAATAATTTGTTGATGCAAAGTGCAGAGCGAAGGTTGAAATGCTCTTGCCGGTTGTTCGCCGCTCGTTCTCGAAGTTTCGACGTATTTACACAATTTGTTTGCTCTCTGTGTGTTCTGTGTGTGATTCTCCATAAAAATTAAATCATTTTGCATTTAATTAAATGCATTAATTGTGCGCTTAAATCGAAATTGGCAAGAAAAAAAACAGCAGTATTATGCTTCAACGTGTGCGTGTTTTTTGGTGTGTGAGTCAGAGACGCGAGAATGGGGCGATAAAAGCAAACAAAGGAGTAAATCGCGATGTGCAGGCAAAACACATGAAAATATTAGGCAGTGCAAAAACAACAAGCGGAGCGAAAATATTCATGATTTAACCCTACACGTATTTGATTTTTTTAATTTACTGGACTCACATATTATTGTTATTATTTTTCAAAATATATTCTTGTACATTATACATTATATTTTTTAAAACAGACTTAGTACAATAATTCGAAATATGACGATTTTAACACGCAAAATGACACACAGGCACTCACACAATAGTGCGTAGCAAAAAGTGAAAAAACAGAAGCAGCTGGCAAATAATCAACTGCCATTTGTTATAAATAATTAATTTTTTGCATTAGTTGGAAAAAGAAAGTTCAAGGACGCACACAAACCACATAGGTCTCTAATTTTAAGAAATAAAACGCGTCTTTTGCAGCAACTAAAAGTAAAAACCAGAGAAAGAAAGTGAAACATAAACAAATAAGGCGCTGCAAAAAGAAAAAGTAAACGATAAACAATAACCCATCATTCACCATTGTGTGTGCAGCAAAAAAGAAGAAGCAGAGAAGAGGAAAAGAAAAAGATCAAGCAACAACAAAAACAAGGAGAACTTTTACTGCGTCGCAGCTTTTTACCGTTGTAGTCGGCTATCATCATCCAAAAATTTGAGGTGAGTGCACTGCAATACACCCACACAAACACTCATACACCAGAACCCTCTCATGCATACGCCCTCACCCTCGCTCTCGCACACTCACCTTTTCATTGAGAACTGAGCCAATCAAAGTTTTATTTTTTTAATCTTAAAAAAAAATGTTTTTGCCATCTACAGATATCTTTAAACAAAGAAAGTTTATATCGGGCCTCTAACAATATTTCGCACATTTTTTGGCCGTCCTTGAATTGGGTGTTTCACTTGGCATTGCGCACATTTCAAAAGCCCGCGTCAGACCTTGAACAAGTTCAAGTTCAAAGCCGTTTTGTCTGGGTCTGGGTCATGTCTTCCTCCACTCACCTCCTTTTCTTGTGGGCGGTTGTCTGTTAAGTTATCCATGGGAGCGATAAAGGGGGAGGGGCTGGTCAGGATGGGCATATTAAATGCGTCGTAGATATGAAACTGATTTCGATTAACAGCAAGCAACAAGGATAAACAAATCTCAGAAATTTAGACTTTGGGTTTTCATTCTTGACCTGCTTAATTGTCCGTGAATCTCAAATTAACCAAAGTCCAATGAAGGTCGTCATCAGTTCTTCTATCCACATTAGTTTCCTGTATCTATGTTGCTGTTTTAAAAGATGAATATAAAAGAAGCCTTCTACAACTTCTCAATTAAACTTTTAATTTTTTCTAAATTATAAGCTAACTAAAGTAAATCAGTAACTTTTTGCATTAGGTATAAACTATGTATTACCTCATAGGAATATGTACTTATGAAATATATTATTTGCAAATATAAATAAATTCTTTATCTAACTTAAGAGTAGGTCAGTTGTCAATATATCAAGTGTAAACAATGGAGATAAGAAGTCCACATTTTACCACCAGAGCTTGGTTTTTCAGAATGGCCTATATTATTACTTTAATTATTTATCTCATAAACATCTTCATAATTTTATCAACTAAAATATTCTGAAAATGAAGGATATCATTTGCACTATGGGGCAATTTTCTTAAACAGAACAATTCATTTTGCTGCGAAATCGCCCCGGAAATAAAACTTTCTTTGGAGCATTTCCTCGTGCTCAGCGCTTTATAAAATCGAGTGGCAAACACAAAGGCCGAACCCCTCAAAACAAAAGCATTTTTATTTAACATTCAAACTGCATATATGGCCATGCAGCAACCTCATATATTTGACTAGATATACTTAACAAATCGTTATGCTTACTAATTCCATTCTATTTGTTGTCACATCTTGATTTGCTTACAGAACGAACCCGAGGACAGCCATCAATTAAAAGCGAGAGGAGCATTGAAAAATCGGGGAAAGACGGTGGAATCTGTGAATTGTCCGTTGTTTTTGCGCAGATCTCGAAACGAAGAGGAGGCCGGAAGGCGGGGCAAGGCGACGTCATTGAACGCTGAGATCCCGGACGACGCAGCCGTAGAGCTGTTGTCCGGGACGGAGGACAACAACAACGGGGGAGGAGGAGGTGGTGGGCGGAGGACGGACTACGGTCTACAAAAGACACCCACGCACCCATTCTCAGAGATTGCGACCTCTTGAAGCAACAAAATGATCTCAAATAAGAAATCGTACGCTATGAAAATGCTGCAGCTGGCTTTGGCCTTGAGCCTGCTGCATTACAATCCGGATTACCTGCTCCATCGCTGGGACTCGCAGCTGGAACTGGGCACCCATGGCGATGGTTGGGAGCTGGAGATGTTGCGATCGGTCCACCGGCTGGATATGGATCAAAACCCTTATGGAAATCGGAAAGGATTGAGTCCCAGGATAGAGGATCTACTGAATTTCGATGATCCATCCTTGGGTGAAATGGGAAACGGTGTAAAGGAGTACAAGCTGCCCACGAGTTTCAATGGCAGCACCTTCGTAATGAATCTCCACAACACCACCGGTAATAGTAGTGTTCAGACGGCAGCTCTACAGGATGTGCAGAGCAATAGTGCTGGAGCCACTGCCAGTTCGGTGGTGGTTGCTAACGGTGGTGCGCCCACTTCCGGTGGACCAACTAGTGGCTCTGCACTGAGTGAAATCCACATCGACACCACCTCTTTGGCCACTGGAAACGCGAACCATTCGTTGCTGCATCCGGCTCCAGAATTGGACATTTTCCTCTCACCTCATGTGCTGCAGGATCAGCGCTCCATTTGGGAACAGAATCTAGCCGATCTGCACGACTACAATGATTTGAATCTACAGGCCAGTCCGTATGCAAATCTACCTTTAAAAGACGGCCAACAACCACCGAATAGCTCACATCTGGATCTGAGTTTGGCAGCGCTCATTCATGGATTCACCGGTGGCAGTGCCACGCCCCTAAGCAACGCCGCCCTAAACGACAGCACCCCACATCCCAGAAATCTGGGCAGCAGCACGAATAACTCGGCGGGGAGGAATGATGATGGCGAGGAGAGCCTTTATTTGGGACGACTGTTTGGCCAGGACGAGGACGACGAGTATGAGGGCGAGATGGCCGGAGGAGTGGCCAACGCCTGCGAGGTGGAGGGTCTGACCACCGACGAGCCCTTCGGCAGTGCTACTTTCGCCAACGAGGTGGAAATCGGTGATGATGAGGAGGTAACCTTAAAAAAAAACAAAACAAAAACCCACAAGTCAAGTATTTTGTGATAAGGTAGGTTTATTTTAAACCGAAATTATTTTCAAAACCGTAATTTTTGTTTTAAATTTTAACCTATTCATCCCGTTTACTTTAGAACAATATAGAAACAATTCAAGTATAAAATAGGTCAAGGTTTCTGTTTTAAATACAATGTAGTTAAGAAAGAAATTTGTCACTTATTTTAAACAATAAGACAGGCAGTCGCCGATGCGTTAGGTCAAGGTTTCTAATTAAATTCAGAGTGTTTTCTCTGAGTGTAGTTGTAAATGACTTTGATTTGACTGATTAAAAGGCACTAAATGGCACCACTTGCAGAGTGGGCTGCGGTGTGTGTTTGTGCTTATTATCAGACAGTGTTGCTGAAAAAAAGCTTTTTGCATTGCTAATGAAGATTCGCGATCCCATCGCTTGACCCATTCCAATCTACCGCTGGATTTGTCCAGCTTTAGTGTTCTTCCCTTGGCTATCTTTTCATTTCTAACTGGTCGTTATTCAGCTTTCTTTATAATTATAGTTTGTAGGTTTCCCCGAATCCAATCGATATTCAAATGTGGCTTTCTGTTATGATTGGTCACCCTGCGAGTGAGTCTAACAATTTTTGAGCTTATCAGCAGATAAGGTTACCAACTTTGTTTACACATCAGCATGACTGTTGCCACGGCTATCCGCTCATATACTTTCAATCTGTATATTCGTTGGTTGCTTCCCCTAATTGAGAGATAATTGTAAATCGATAATTGGTACTAGCAATTCATATCTAATTTGATTAATTGGTCATAAATAAAGAGGGAAGTTTTAATTCCGTTAAAATTGGGTGTCGCTTACAATTAAGAAGATTTATTGATAACATATTAGAAGCGACTTATCTTTTGTTTGGATTTATTTTTTCGAACCGTGCGCAACAACTTTCACCATCTTTCGGCCCCAAAGTTCACATATTATATGCAAACACACAAAACAAGCAGCAATTAGGTCATTAAACGTTTCGGCTGCGCAAAATTTTAAACTGGAAAACAACAACGAAGCCAAAAAACAAATAAGATAAATTCACATAATGTGGAAAGAGCTTTTTGTCCAAAAATTAAAATTCAATTAAATAATTATTTAATGTCTCTTTAAAAATTGAGTTATTTATTAAATCTTTAAATGAAACTGAATACTAATAGAGGCCCTATAAATCAGACTTAAAAAAAAAAATTACTTTTAGCCCGAAACGCACTTTCGATATAGGGGATCATTAATTTGTTAAATCGGTTTATTGGCTAACAATCTCCATCTATTTGCATGAGAATTTATAGCAATGAATCAGATTTTGTGCTCGATTTTTATTTATTTTTAAAAATCGAATTGAATGTCGGCGACAAGTGTGCAATTCAGGCAGCAATTTCATTATTTGTTTTTTTTACACTCTGGTGCTGTGTTGTGCGTTTTGCGAATTGCAATTTAAATATGCATAAATATTTATACTTGGCCTGGCCAAGAGCGACTGTTGGGAGGGGGAGATATGGCTGAGACAGGAGCGGGATGACTAACTCGGTGTTATTTTCGATTTACTCAGCTCTTTGTTGTTGCACACTTGAGTTGCCTGCAATTCGTTTTTGTTGCTCCAACATGTCACGAATGTTTTCCATTTCGGCCGATGACGGTTTTATTTTTTGTTCTCACTGACTGTGTGTTCTTGGGGGGCAGAGCATATAGAAAACATAAGTATGTGGCTTTGATATGATCTAATTAAATGCACTCGGCAGTCGCATTGCATAATCATCGAAACGAAGGCGATTAATTATTTATTTTTGCCTTTGTTATTTAACTTTGATGCCAACGATTGAGTGGGTTGCGAAGAACTTCCGTCATTTTATTAACCAGATATTGGCAGGGTCGTTTTGTTTTAGGTACTGTATATTTTTAATAACTTCAAAAGCTCTTCTAAGTAAAGATAAAGAATTTTTAAGAAAATGGCATTACCAATGAAGCATGATCGAGAGTGCAATATAGGAAAGTTTAAAGTGACTTTATCTAAATAGCACTCGTATATTTTCTTATAATTTGTTACATACAATATATAAGTACTGGGTATTTTACGGTCTAAAAACCTCGATTGTAAAAAGTTCTTGTCTAGTAATTGCAACTTCCAGCTGCTTACCATTATTCCATAAACGAATATGGTAATA